ATAATATTAAAGGTCAGTTTGATATATATGAAATATGGCACAGGGGGTCAGAATTATTGCAAACAGCTGTATATACAGCCTTTTGCAAAAATTATGAGAATTGTCTAAATATCTAAATATCATAATATCCATATCCATATATTGTCCGGAACACGCGGGTTTGCTAGAATAATTCATTGTTGACATCGAGAAATTGTTCAGAACTACGGATAAGTCTGTCGCCAAAAAAAAAAACTAAACTACAAAGACAAGGGATTAAGGGCATCGCGCGAGATTACCCACCATGCACTCGATATTATGATATTTAGATATTTCAACAATTCTCATAATTTTTGCAAAAGGCTGTATTTGCATTAATAAAAAGAAAATATTTTGTTATAAAAAACATCCAATGGGCATCAATTGTAAATAGAAAACAATATTAACTTTCTTTTTTGCATTAGGCAGAGTTTTATAATAGAAAATTAAAGAAAAGTTATAGTGCTTAGAGGGAGGTTATTCTAAAGAAAGACCCTTGGAAATAAATTATTTTTTCCTATTTTATTTCCAAGAATCTTTCTCACGGAATGACCTCCTTCTAAGCAATATAATAACTTTCCTTTATTTCTACATCATGTTTCTCATAGTGCCATGCAGTCCTCATAATTTTATAATTGACTGGTTTTCACCTCATTTTCATCAAATACACTTAATTTTACATATTCTTCTGCCGTTTCAGCACTCTATCAGCAGTAATACACAACAGTTAGAACAGAGATTGTGATTTGTTTCGTAGAACTGTTATCACTGTCTTTATTTTACTCAACTTCTAATTAGCTTTGTTTTTTCTTATCCTTCACATTTGTTATTGACATTCAGTTCTAAAGTAAGTTGTAATGCAACACAAATATTTCTATTTACATGAAGTACAGCAAAAATAGACTGTCCAGCTCCTTTACACATAAAATTGGGGATTGAAATTGGAGGATAATACATTCTACATGTGTATCATTGGTAAAGATTTAGTAATTGAAAACAAAAATGTGCTGTACATGTATTTGCTTTTATCTTGCTTATTTAGCTGTGGATGCCACTCACTGTGTTGTGGCTGCCCTTTAGATTGATTGATTTATGATTCAGTTCAGGTCTTCTTGCGTCTAAAATGTAACAAAAAGTGTTACTGATGAGTGGTAAATATACTCCAATGAAACAGGAATATGCATACAGGGTCATGAATTAATATCAATGATATCACAAAGAATACAACAACAGTGTATGTCTATATGTCTACTAAAACCTTCATGCAATTTCCCCCTGTGGCCCCCCATTTCCAATGTTGGGCTCCAAACAAACCCTCCTTCCTTCCATACGGAAACATTCCCGCCAACAACATTGTTAACCAACATTGACTGTGGGGAGAGGGGGGAGGCTTTGAGTAAGCATTAAAACAGCCCACAAGAGAGTGCATCTGCTAGAGCGCAGTAATAGCGTTCTGTCCCATTGAATTTTGTCTAGAATTGTAGTTGTAAATTTAACTTACTTGTGCAAATATGCAGGGCCTGAATCAGGTTTGCATTCAATGGCATAAGCACACTACAACAATATCAACCGGCAGATTAGCATGACATGAATAATAAGTGGACTTAATGATGAGCTATTAAAATAATGTGCATTACGTGTACATAGGAAAATGCTGACCAAAAAAACACACAAGTTTAAATTGTCAATATAAAGTCACATTTTGTTGATAATGGTGATGTAGCTTACCCTTGTTTCAACATCAGTCCAACATTGTTCATCTTCATCAGATGCTCTTCGTTTTCTTTAAGAAAGCATCAAAATGATCATTT